AATACTTTTCCGCCATTTTGTTTGTTTTGGGAAAATCATTAATTGTACTGCAGTACAATTAATGAAATAATTGTACTCCTCACAATCAATCAGCATCCAGTAATTTTGTCGAGGTTTATCATCTCATTATCCATTGTTTGAATTGCATTCGACGCGACCAAAATTCGACGTATAAAACGGGCCTAATTTTGGTCGCGTCGAATGCAATTCAAACAATAGATAATGGGCTGGTATTCCAAAGGTCGTAGGTTCGAATCCCACCGTGGCCGGGCATATTTTTCAAGCTCGCCCGGTGTGGATATGCACTCAGAGTAACATCACAAACATATTATTCACCTGAGTACACAACACCAGCACAGAAAAAATTAATAGATAATGAAGCTTAATGTCGAACTTTTCATGTGCCAAAACTAATGCAAATGAAGTGAAACAAAGAACTTAGCTCATTAACATTCGGTTCGGCACATGAAAAGTTCGACGTTTGACCCTGGCCTAATAGAGCTATGATCTAATACAAGTGGTTTAGTTTAGTTTCCTCCTGTAATAACAGAAGAGCAAGACGCAATTTAATCCTTTATTTCAGTTGCTAACAGCGAACATTATGCATGACTGCATATTTAAACTGCTTCGTGCTGGTGACGAAGAAAGTTTGGAAAGCATGTGCAAGTTGCTGTTCACCATTGGCAAAGATCTTGATTCCGATAGAGCAAAGGTAATTTACTTCTTTATGGTTGCAATTGTCTTTATCGTGCATAATTGATAACCATTTTATAAACTTCATTTTGCTCTGGTGTTTATTGTGTTATGCATTTTGTAGATTAAGCTCAAAGCCCGAAATATGCATGTGTTCAAATCGGCTTTGTTTTGCTTAGACATGCATAGACAAAAATTGAGATATTTTGTAGGATATAAATTTAAAATTACAAATAATACATGAATGGAAAGCTTACCGAAAGGTTAACAATTACGTAATAATTTTATTCAAAAACTATCCCGTAAACTGTAGAAATTAGTCAATATCAATTAACACAATTCAAAAAATACTTACTGAAATTAAAGCGCGCGAAAAGTGGCCTGAGGTTGTGAATCTATCTTGGGAAACGTCCGCTATTTTGGTAACCTGCGCCGCAGACTCTATAATGACGTACAGAGTCTGCGGCGCAGGTTACTATTTTGGGGGACCATTCGTGTACCAGTGTAGCGAGCGAAAACATGTCTGACAGATATAGTTTAGTTTCTTCCTGTTATAGCCGTGAAGCAGTTTGGGATAGGCCATATATGACCGTTTTTTTAAGGAAAACAGTTTCGATAAAATTATTAGCTAGAACTATCCAGTATATGGATAAAACAAGACTCTCTATATTAGGCGTTAACATGTGGGACAATGTGCACAATATTTTATATTGATTCCTGCATGAGATGGCGACCTTTATGCTGTGAATGAGTAATATGTACTAATTTCAACCAACTGCAACGCTGTCCATATTTTTATATTCACGCGCGAACTACTGCAACAACAATATGCATGCAAATACAAATTTAAAGCGACTGATTCGCTCGGTGATAATGGCACAGGTGCCCCAGCAACTAATTAGTTTATTTAGTTCATGTAGTAACAGTATAGAGCTGAGCAGTAATGAATATAACCGTCACTCTGATACATCCAATGCCCATGCATGAGGAGGACAGTTTGGACAGAAGTAACAGCTATGGCGTAATTAATAAAATTAGAGGGAAATGGCAATATATTTTTTATTTTCTCATTTGAAAGAACTTTAAGACTATACATAATACTCTTTTACCGTTTTTCATATCTTGCTTACTTCTACAAATATTTTGATCGAAAGGAATGAAATGTCCACCATCTTCAATTTTGTAGATATGCATATCACGTTACAACAGGGGTCATGCAATATTTTTATCTAGACAACCACTAATCATTTTGCACTTAAAACTACACTCTGTCTGCCCTCGAAATATCAAGATCACTCGAAACCTTTAAAACATCTACCAATCTGTATTTAGTCTGCAACGAATACTTTTATATGGTTCACCCTGTTGTGACGTCACAAAAACTGCCATTAATGAGATAAAAAAATTATCCAAGATGGCGACATCTCATTACTTCAAGTGAAAATATTTCAAGAACTAAGAGAGATATGAAAATCGGTAAAAGAAGTTAATATATAGTTTCAAACGTTCTTTTTAATGAGAAAATAAAAATTTATATTGCCATTTCCCTTTAAACAAAATGTTCCTTTGGATGGAGTTCAACAAAATACTAGTGTATAATGTAGCTGACTATAGCTATTTACAGTGCAATTATTTTAACAATATAATCGACGCTCATTTCAGCCTCGAATTGAGCAATACTTCGATCAGATCAACAGGATTATAGCTGCTAAGAAAGTCTCATCAAGAGTGATATTCATGCTTCGTGATGTGATCGAGCTTCGTCAAAATAAGTGGGTCCCTCGCCGGGAAGAACAATACAACCCACCAATCACGGAAATGAAAAAAATGCGGGAGCAAAGATTAACAACCCAGCAGCAAGTCAAGAATAATAAACAGAAGAAAGGCGGACCAGGTATACATATAATAAGTGAAAACCTAAGTAATGACCTAAGTAAAAAAAATGAGTGACTGCACGGCATAAAGATTGATGTGCTTTTCAAAACAATAAACATTCCGATATAGTACTAAATCGTCGATGGCACCGTTATAGTATAGGGAGGTTCAGATTTGACTTCCACTATACCGCTACCATTTTAAGGAGCCATTAACCAGTTTGTTGAAGTTTCCTGGATTAAATAATAGCCTGTTGACGTTCTCTGGATTAAATAATTAGGAATTATCGAATGAGGTTGATTGAGATATGAAAAGATACGTTAAGATGTTTCAAAACTTTTCCTGGCTGTTTTTGTTGATATTTCTTCTTTATATTTTAATATTTGCTTCTACTTTTGTATTTACACAGTATGACGTCATAACGTTGATATGATTTTTCATATCATCGTTATGACGTCACTCAGTTGTGATATGACAATTTCACAGTTGGTTGTTAGCCATTCAAAAACCTTGATTTCTCTAAAATATAGAATTACTTTTATTGAGCTTTTGCCTCGGTTCTTCGGGCCTTCTTAAGAATATATATATGTTATTTACCGGATTGGAGGTCCGTATTGAGAAATATTTATCGAGTCTTAAAAACGGCGAAGGCCGAGGGACGTTTTTAAGACCGAGAGAAATATTTTTCTATACGGACCGACCATACCGGTAAATAACATTTTTGTTTTTTTTTTAATCTCCCCCCCCCCCCTCATAAATTCATATTCCCCCAAGTAAAACGTCGTTTCTATCAATGCTAGGAAGAGTAAAATCTTCTGTGGTATAGTAAAATTCACTTTCACTGTGTTCTTTATCGTCTGCAGACATGTTAATGTTCTAAAAAGTAGCCTCTAAAGTCGTCTTTGAATTTTTTAAAATAATCGCGTGGGCAATCAGATTACAGAAAAGCGTAAAATATGATTTCGGACCGCAAGAAAAAACTGAATAAATCCTTTTTTTTTCCTCAGGAGGACAAGACAGTTCCAAGCCAATATCAAATGACGATGTTATTACCAATAGCAAGGGTGAAAAGTCGGTGCCTACCGAACAACAGCTACGCAACAAGGTAATTTCACGTCATTATGTGAAAAAAAACGTAAATCGACTAATAGTCTTATATGCAACCTATGTGTAGACACTTTTTAAACCAGTAGATATCGGTAATGTAACCCAACACGAGCGCTCATGAAATTTATTTTTGGTCCAACTAATAAGAAACTATGAAAGATGCATTTGTGCTGCACCAAAAATGGCTAGTCGACCGAAATGGTTGGTTGAATATCGACCAAATATTTGATATCACATCGTTGACATAATTTTAATTGCATAGACATTCTACCATGTATATAGACGTCTGTTCCACCATTTTCAGGTGTGTCCTTCTTGATATAAAATGTATGCCTGTCCCATGACTTGCCCGATATCAGACAAAGTAACATACAACCATAACTGGTTAATTAAACACATCCGGCCAGATTTTTTTCTTAAGTTCTGTATTGGTTCTAATACCCCCTACATATTAAAGAGCATCTTATTTGATTTTGAATAAATATAATGTTTTCGTTGTCGAAAATAATCCAAATGGTGCATGTCAATTAATGCTACCGTACGTGGCCCACTAGTATATTACTAATTGTCTAAACTCTAAAGCCAGATTACATGTCAAGGGGAGGAGTTGGACCTTCATTTTTACAAAATTGTGTTTATAGCCTTCATACCCGGTCCAAACCGTCATGATGCCAGGGCAACGTCAAGGTGCTTACCTAGCAGGTCATCCAATGTCAGTGGCACCACGTTCAATGCGGCCAGCCAGGGCAATCTACTCATCATCACCTCAAGGACATTCGCCAATGCAAGGATATATTCAACAGCAGAATTTCCAGTATCAAGTTGTGGGGCAGGTAAGTTTGGGTGGGGGTGGGGGGGGGGGGCCGATCTCTAACATCACCTTTATTAGATTGTGGTAAAAATGGACAGTGAATTGTACTGTATTGTATCATCTGTTCAGGTCTTGCAGTCAAGTGGGTTTAGATAATTTATGTTTGCGTTTGTACGATAAACGCCGGCCGAAGAAAAAATTCACACTATAGTATAAGGCAAGCAAGAGTAAATCGACTTGTTGTTTTAAAACTGCAATAATGCATAATTATTATTTTGACATAAGAAAGAAAATATGAAGCGAAAAAGCTATAAACGAAAATTGTGCCCGGAAACGTGAACTCCGTAAATAATACCTTGTGACTACTCACCCTCCGGCTATTCAAAAACAGCATTGACACTCAAGAGAAACTCAGATTGAACCTCATTGGGTGTGAGTGAGCTTTTAGAATACGGGCGATAAAAGACAAGGTTTCTCCAGATCGAGCAGCTTGCACTTAAAACATTGCGTTCTCCTTTGGGATCTTTATGTCCAACCAGTAATGCGACACGGGTACAATCGAAATATTCAGCAAGCTTACAAAATGAAAACACATCCTCACAACAAATTTGATATTTTCTTTATCAGGAATATATAGACAAAAGCACAAATATTCCCATGAGTGATAGATTACAAGAAACTAGCTTGGGCATTAGTTAAAAATTAAAAGTTGATAACCAGGTGCATGAAGGTCTATCAATTGGTCTGAGAAATGTTTGATGCTTTTGTCTACCACATTTTGTGCAGGGCTACTTGTGTAAGGTAACTAACAGTTGCGTTTTTCTTTAGGATCCTTATGGCCAACCAGTGATGAGACCTACATTCATTCCTAATGTCCAGCCAGCATACCAAATGCAAGCGACCAGGGCACCATTTCAACCACAATATCACCCACAGCAACATCAGTATTATAACCAAGGAATGCCCACAATTCAAACGATTAACCTAACCAAACCTAAACCAAAACGAGTTAGCAAAATTATAATTCGAGACGCAGACAATAAAGATATCACAGAGCAAATTCTTTCCCACACTATTACAGCGACCGGTCGTTCTGAAAGCACCCCTCCGTTGACAAATTCAACTGCTCAGACAGAGTTCTCGACCATCCAGGCACAGTTCGCTGCTCAGGTTGCGGCCCGTGTTGGAGGTGAAAAAGGCAAACAGGATAACGAGATGAAAGCGGGTGAAACAGACAAGGATAAGGAACTTCAAGCAAGAACAGACCATGAAATGAAAACAGAAATAAATAAACCAGGAAATGGATCAATAGCTACCGACGAAATCCATGCCAAAGATGTGCCTCCAAACAATATGGAAACTCTGCATAAAGTAAACAGTTCAGCAGTTGAAAACAGGACAGAGAGCCCAAAGAATACTACCGATAATACACACTTAAATCAGGGCTCACCAACGTTGCAAGAGATGACGGAGAAATTGAGAAAAACCATAGAAGTTCAGAAGGAACCTCAGAACGAGCCGAAAGTTTTGCTTTTACGGCCCGATAGAGAAGCGACGGTAGAAAATGGGGCACGGGGGATGAGTAAATACGAAGAGGTTAACGAAACGAACGCGGAAGACATGAAAGATGCGTGGGATGATTGGTAATCACGAACGGTGCTAATGTAGGTAGACACAATAACAGGCATGTATACAACTACCTGAAAAATACAAGCACAACTTCGACATTTCGGGCGAAGGCCCTTTGTCGGGAAGTTAGTAACCAACTTCCTAACTATCTTTCCGAAAAAGGACTTCGTTCGAAACGTCAAACTTCTGCTTATATTTTTAGGTAATTGTATTTCCTCCGCACCGCAGCTGTCCACACATTTCGTAATCATACAGTTACGATCATGATCATAATCGACAGTTATGATCATGATTCGTGCGGATCAGCGTGACCACTATTTGGTAAAATATACTACTTCTGATTAAATTTCGTCAATTTTGGAAAAAAAATAGTTATGAGTTTATTTTAGTATTTTTTTTTAAAGATTTGTTTGTGAAAATTCGTATTTGAATGATATCCTGTGTAAAAGAGATGCTAAAAGCGGTTAATGAAACTCTCTAGCCTGCAAATCCCGCTAATTTCAAACCGGGCTGGAGGCGAATTTAATTTGATGAAATTTTATCTCGATTAGTAAATTTTTAACACGAAGTTTAGTAATAACCCAAGAAAAATCTGGTCACACTGGTGTGCATGGTCACAGAATAAAGATCAGTGACAGAAGGGCCACTCAGCGGTGCAACGTGTCCTCGTTTTTTTATGCAAAAATATGCAGTTTTAATACTGGCAAGAAGGCGGAGCAGCCAGCCAGTACAGCGTGTTTATTGGCCAGAAAATGTCATTGACTGGCTAGGAAAATGGCGGCCAACATGCGTAAAGGCCCACACAGACTGGACGCGATTCGGCAACGGTTACAAAATTTACAAGATATGCAGACAAAATAGCTAAAATTGCTTAAGTGGTGCCGAATATTTGAAAAACCTTGAAAAATATTGAAGTTAAATGTCATTGAAAATTCGCGTCGCGTTGCCAAATCGCGTCCGGTCTGTATGGGCCTTAATGCGACATGCGCGAGGACAGAAACTTTAAAGCTTCCGACGTAAGTGGCCCTTCTGTTTAGATCTTTATTCTATGGCATGGTGAAATGGTTTACGGATCGTCACCTGGTTTGCATTAGATTTTAACTAGGCTACCTTATAAAATAAGAACTTTATTTGACCATTATTATTTAAATAAGCTTATATATACATGTGCAAACTTTGTACACTTCGTGAACAACGTTACAAGTGTCTTCCCAAAATCTCGTCCAGTAACCGTTCCAATTTTTGATTGGTTCCTTTCAAACCTGCTACGACTTTTCTTGACCAATCAAAATACTCCTGTACTCGTTGCTCGGTCCAGTTCACTGGAGTCGCTTTTTCCAGGTCTCGAAGATTGTAAAGTTTATCTGCCAGTTTCACTAACTTTGCTTTAGGGCTGAAACAAAAAAGACAAATAATTACTAAGCTAACTTTATTGATACTGAAAACCTAGGGCCAGCCGACAATTTTAGAAAGTATAAAAAGATACATATTCCGAAGAATAGTGACTAATGCCATCTTGAAATTGAGGATTTCAATTGAAGCTAGACGAGATTTTGAAACTGTATTTACAATTAGTTATAGATAAATAAGTTATTTGATTATTTTACGTGAATATATATATTTACAAAATCATAGATTAGAAAAAAGGTATCAATGAAATTAAGCATTGGAATTATCTATATAAAATTATGAAAGTGAATCACTCTTATACGTTTGATCCCAACGCCTTTGTTCTATTCTATGCTTTCCCAAACTAGAACAATAGTATCTAGGCATGTGAGTAATCTAATGCATGTCACCTTTGTTTTATCTATGCTTTCATAATTAGGCCTGTTTATACGTCGAATTTCGGTCGTGTCGAATGCAATTCAAACAATAGATGATGAAACTTAATGAGGTTTATCATCTCTTCAAACACTCATTAATAATTCATAAGCTTATTGGCAAATCATGTCAACCATAATATGTCACGTGCAGTGGCTTTAAACCTGATAAAACACTCCTAATTAGTATTCTTTATATAAAGAATACTAATAAGGCAGTATCTATTGTTGTCGTGTCCTCGTTAGTATTTTTTATATAAAGAATACTAATAAGGCGGTATGTCTATTGAATTTGTAATCGTGTTTGAAGCCGTTTAATAAACTCGCAGGTCGTGTTTAATTAGGTCTAAAGCCACTCGCGCTGCGCGCTCGTGTCTTTAAACCTAATAAAACACTCCTGCTCGTTTATTAAACAGTACATTATCTGTTGCCTTAATCGATTCGACACGGCCAAAATTGGACGTATAAAACAGGCCTAAGAACAATAGTATCTAGGCATGTGGGTTAAGATGAATTCCTTGGAGAGTCGAAGAGTAGAATTCCGCACCTGGTTCCTGGGGCATGTTCTATTTGAAGTCGTTTTCTTTCCTGTTTTGGTAAAGATTTATCATCCGTCACTTCTTCCACTAAGTTCACAACTTCACTTCCAAATATTCCTTCAATTTCCTCAAACGTTGTGTCCGTGTCCTCCACAGTGTCGTGCAATATGGCTGCCTAGTAAAATGGAGTTAAAAACTTTAGAAAATTAAATAAAATTTTCTAAACTTTATATTCCACATTTGTACAGGGTGTCCCCCAAAAAAGTACCCTCTATAGAAATTATCCTATTGTTATAATTTGAATGCCGGAGTACTATAAAGGGTGTCCCCCAAAAAGTCCCCCTTTAGAAATCACTGTTGTGCGTTATTATACCTTTGGGAATTTAATTTAATTGTACATGAACGGCGGTAGTATTTACAACTTCCCTTCGTCCAAATAATTTAACACTTCGGTTACACTTTGCGTTAACGCATAAGTTGTTACGACTGAAATACTCGTTGCTCTGTAGTCAGCTGACCCATTCTTATTCGAACTGACGGTAAGTTGAATTTGACATTTTTGTGTTGCTGTTTGCTTTAGAAACTATTTTAAATTCATAGAGGCAGAGGTATAACAATGCACGTTTAACAAAAGAGTGATTTCTAGTATAGGGGCACTTTTCTTTGCCTTCGGGACACTGTAGATACAGCTCTACCTGCCTATATGAATTAACATGCTTTATTATATAAACATAAGTGTTATATAGAGTTTTTGGCCACTGAGAAAAATCGTATTTAAACACGTAAAAAATACGATATTTTTACGTGTGAAAACATTTGTTGTAAAACGCATTGCCACGGTCGTTTTATTGTTTTTCACTGAATTTTGTTTATATAATAAACAGAAAAATACATGGGTGCGCGGAAATACCAGATTTATTTCTCGTGTTGAACTCCGCGCACCCATGTATTATTCTCTATTTGTGATGGGTTCGAGGGGTGCATATAAGAAGATTTTTTTTCAGATGAACGGCGGTAGTATTGAGTAACATCACACAAACATCTTATTCACCAGATGAACGGCGGTAGTATAGAGTAACATCACACAAACATCTTATTCACCTGAGTACATTACACCAACACAGCAGATTTCATGATTATTAGATTACACTGATATCGAAGGAACTAGACTCAGTTCCGAAATATCGCATACTCGAACCGTCCTGACCGCGTAGCTCAGTTGGAAGAGCAGTGGGCTAGTATTCCAAAGGTCATGGGTTCGAATCCCGCCGTGGCCAGGCATATTTTTCAAGCCTGCCCGGTGTGGATATACACTCAGAGTAACATCACACAAACATCTTATTCACCTGAGTACATTACACCAACACAGCAGATTTCATAGTCATATTTATTCGACGTAATGCGCCGTGTGGCTGCACTTAAATTTAGTTAGCTCAATGTGTGAAATAAAATAGGAAAATTTGGGGTCTTAGCATCTCCTAATGGTACAAAGACATTACTAAACTTATCGAGTAACAATAAACTTATCATTTATTCGATATGTAATGCGCCGTGTGGCTGCACTTAAATTTAGTTAGCTCAATGTGTGAAATAAAATAGGAAAATTTGGGGTCTTAGCATCTCCTAATGGTACAAAGACATTACTAAACTTATCGAGTAACATGTTTGGGTTTTTT